ACGTTTCACTCAAATGAGAGAACGAATCCGGAGTTCTGACCTCCGTGGACGATCAAGAATCAGGGACGCTGTCTCGTTTGCCAAGGTGTCAAAAATCAGATGGGCTGGTCACATAATGAGATTTAGAGATGACCGCTGGACTAGAGCCGTTAATGACTAGATTCCACAGGATGTCAAAAGACTGTGTGGCCGCCCACCTACCACTTTCTTCATCAAGACCATGAACGATTGGTTTGAGGCTCTCCGTGTTCCTAGAACGAATAGATGCCATTGGGCTACACTAGCACGCAACGAGGAGAAATGGAGACGTTAGTGGCGCCCACTCGAGCAAATCGACGATTAATGGGAAGTCAAGTGATCAAGTGAATAAACAAATCATTTTTGTTTTATGGTCAGATTTAAATGCTTTGTTGAGTATGAATAAATGATAATTCACCAGTATTAATATTTTTGAGAAATATATGTTATTTAAATAGTTAAAATAAAATTGAACAACTTTCCATTAAACTTACAATTTTTTGACAATTGAAAATAATTTACACACAGATATAGTGATCCGCATATTCTTTCTCTTATTGTTATTTGCAATAAGCTGCGTTTTATATATACATAATTGTAATTTAAATCTAACAGATTATTTGAATCTTAAATTAAATACTCCAAAAGAGACTTAGAAATGACTATATAAATTTATATACAATATTCTGGTGATTGAATAGAGGTAAAAAGGTATGATATAAATCAAAGTTTCAAAACATTTAAAAGAAGCTTTTAGGATATGTTTAAAGATCTAGCATGCATATCATTAGAACAAAATGAAGAATTTTCAGGTAGAATATGGTGAAGGGATTACCTGAAAACATTTTGATTATATGGAAAAGTTATGATGGCAGATAAAAAGCATATTACACTCCCTGGTAAATATTAAAAGTAGCAGAAAAGAAAATGAGGGTGAAAAATTATAAATTATGAATGGTGATGAAATGATATATTCATAATTAAAGTTCAAAATGATCTAAACTTCCATATTTACTGGTTACTTTTTAAAATGGAAACAAAAATACAAATGTTCTAACTTAGATTAACAGAGGAAATTCTTTCCAAATACAAAATAGAATTGCAAAATTGATTTTTTTAATAAGGTAACAGAATTAATTTTGAAGGAAGGAAATTTGTTAAGAAAGAGATAATAAAAGTATATATAAGTACTATACATTGAAAATATTAATAGCTTAATTTTATTCTATGTACTTCACCTGAATATTCAGCAAAATGTGTATCATTAAATCTAGCATTCTACTAGCATATCAGTTCTATATGTTTCTTTGCTTGTTCTACTTGGCTTTACAGCGTAGCTGCAAAATAATATTAACAATACCTTTAAAGATCATTAAAGGAGAACATATAAATTCAAAGCTTCCAGCTTGTCATAGTAAATATTTTGATGCCTTTGGTAGGCAATTCAAGTTATCAATTTCCTTTATTATAAATAGAATCTTAGTAAAGTTTTATTGTTAGCTGGATTTCAAATGTCCTTTATTCCACATCATTTAGCATTCAATCTCAATTCGTAATGTACCTTTACTGCTTCTTTCCATAAATTATTACTGCCTTTCCTTTAAAACATGAGAATTGGCAGTTAATGACTCTTCTCAATGTAAGTGATATTCAAATCAAGAGAAAACCTATTAAGAGGAAATGGTTAGTTCTTTTAGATATCAAATTTTTCTAACCTTCCAAATAATACTAGCTGATGGATTTAAATTTTCTAATAGAATATGTTTGTTATTAGCAAACTGCCTAAAGTATGCAGATAATACAACGGAAATGCTTCTTGTGATTGTATAGTAAGAAAAAAGCTGTTTTAAAATGTTTTTATTTCCATTATGAATTGATAGCTTGTCTTGTATGATTTATACATAAAACTGAAATGTTATAATTAAATTGATATTTTTAATATATAAAAGTAATCTCAAAGTCAGTCAGTTTACTACACAGAAAAGTTTAATTATAGGTTCTATTATGACAAAACTTAATAACAATCTGCAAAATGGTCTAAATGGCAGAGCTCCTATACAACTCCAACCTAAAAGAAAAGAAAATAAAGAAAGAAGCAAACTGAGACAAGTACATATAAAAAAGAATTTCTCTTTTAAGAGTGTGCTAGTAAATGTTATCCTTCCCCATTGATACTGAGGAAAGCAGAAACTACAAAAACTGTGCATTAAATATTTTTGAATCATATCATAGGTGAGATCAAAGACGCTTAATATTATGAATACATTTAGGGCATTATTCCCTAGAGGAAACATTGGGGGTTTTAAAATATTTTAGTTGAGTGTTCTGTGATATTCTAGCTTGTTTTTTTTCTTTCTTTACTTTATATATATATATATTTATTTATTTATATATATATATACACATACATATATATAACCCAAGGGCTTCACATAGTTTTCTTAGCCATGAGTTTAAATGTCTGATCTATTTTTCTTCTAAATGTTTTGCTTTTCTATGTTAACCTTTTTATCCATCTATATTTAGCTTGGTCTGTAAATAGTAAAAGTGCTGACTGAACGATCTCAAAGGAGACCAAAGAAAATAAAAGTGAACCTGCAAATCAAGGAAATAAAAGAAAAAAAATAACTGTTTAAACTTATTCCTAAATGAGTATTTAGTAGGAGCTAAGGGGGTTATCTCAAAGGACTGGAACACATGATTTGCAAGTATATATCACCATGGTCCTCCCGTTGTTCATCGATTTGCTCGAGCGGGCCCAGTAACGTCTCCATCATGAGACTTCTTGCTACTGTATTTGGCATATCGAATACATCACAGGGAGCTTGCCAGGCTTTGCCATGCAGGCGAGATACTCTCGGTAGCTTGCCGGGCTCTCCGAGAGGGGCGGAGGAATCGAACTCGTGTCAGCCATGATGGCTGCATGCAAGGCAAACACCCTACCACTGATTTTCAAGTGGGAATCTAAATTTATTCCCTACCAGGGTGCTTTGTGCACCAAAAACAGTGACACATGGACACAGAGCACATAGCTGGGAGCAACTCCTGAGCTCCACTGGGTGTGGTCCCAAAATAAAACAAAAAGCAGCAGAAACGTATTAATAGGCTAACTATTGAAACTATCCAATGGAGAAAACCATGTACAGAAGCTAGCATTTGCTATATCTTTAGAGGACTGGTAGTTTACATGGTTTCCCTAGACTTCATACGTAAAAAAAAAAAAAAAATTCCTTGTCAAGAGAGCTAAAGATTAAACAACTAGGTACTACATAATACTGATGAACATAAATATGAACAGAGTACCCTGGTTACCACAAAAACACATTTTCAACTGAGATAACTGCCTTGGGGCTGATTTAAGCATTCTTGGAAAATTTTGCTAATTATTAGAAACTGGGTTTTTTTTATCATAAGCTTATTTTATTTTAATGTATATAATGGATATATATATATATATATACACACACACACATACATACATACATACATGTAATGGGTGATATATAATGTTTAGCTTAAAGTGACATTTTAGAAATTTTTCATATGTTATCGGGACTTCCACGTCAGGAACATAACAGGCTTAGAAGAAATCACTTCCTTCTTCATAAGAAACAAACAAGAAGACTGTGAAAATCAACTCTTAGGTACATCAAAAGGCTGAAGACAGTGTGAGCTGCAGCCCTGAACATTAAATCAGTAGCTGACTACAGTGATCACTGCTCAGAAACTATTTCTGGAGGAGGGGGAAATCCGAAAGAAGCATTTGAAAGGCAAGTGTTAGTGAGTTTTAAATACTAGTTCCTGTGGTAATGGTATTTCTAGAGATAATTTTCTGGTGCACTACCTTAAGGAGATCTCTGTACTTAATACTTAGTACTTAATGCACTGTACTTAATACACTGTACTTAATACTTTAATACCAGAACCTCACTAAATTGCTAGGGTAAGTTTTGGAGTAAAATTGATTTGACTGTTTTACTTTCAGCAAGCAGAATTGAAAAACAAGCATTTTAAAATAAACCCAGATTGCAATGATCGCCTTAAAAAAAAAAGGCAAGAGAATTTTTTATAACTTAATTAACTGGCATTTTACCAGACCTTAATCAGCCTGGCAACAGGAAATATCTTTCAGCGCATATAAATGTGTGTAAACAATAGTTTTCATTTTTGTTTGTTTTTCATGTGGGGCCACACACAGCAATGGTTAAGGGTTTCTCCTGGCTCTTCCTCACTCAGGAAACACTCTTGGCAGTGGTTGAGGATCATGTGGGATGCTGAAGACCAAATCCAGGGTTAACATATGCAAGGTAAGTGCCCTACCTCCTGGGCTATTACTCTGGCACGAACAATAGTCTGCATACTTAATAAAAGTTGTTAATTAACAAAATTAACAAAATTCCTTCTAAATTTTATCCATATTAAGACACGAATGGATAAGTCATAATTTATGAAAATAGGGCTGGGAAGATAGTATAATAGGAACTTTCCATGCATGCAGATCCCTAGTAGCATATGTGCTTCCCTCAGCACCAAGAGTGATCCCTGAGTGGTCAGCAGTAAGCCCTGAACTCTGTTGCATTTTTTCCCCAGAAACAAAAGAAACTATCTGTCACTGTCACTGTCCTCCCTTTGTTCATCAATTTGCTCGAATGGACCCAGTAACGTCGTGAAGAAAACTTAAATACATACTTCTAAGTGAAAGGATATTCTGAAAGACAACATAAATATATTTTAAACAACAAAATGTTTATAGTGGAAAAGTTAAACGGGCAGGCAGTACACTCTTTAATACAACTCAAACAGAAAATAGAGCCTGCACTGAACTCCAATAAAAAAAAAAGTTGTTATTTTTAAACATTGGGATGATATAGAAAAATTTAAAATAAAATTTAAAAAGAGACTTTTAAAGGGCTAGGTTCATTTAGGACATGCAAACAAATTGCATCCTCCGAACTAAATATGATTCCTTAATTTTTTTTCTATGCATCCTTCTCATTTTGCCAGTTGGACTCAAGTCTTCATTGGTAATTCTAGTGGGGCAAAGAAAGTGTCCTTTTATAACTGAAGCAAACTGGGTGTTGGTCTTGTATGCTGTCAAAAGAAACAATGTGAAAAAAAAATGGGCTGGGATTGAGCATACATAGTGGAGAGGGCTTGCTTTGCCAGGACTGACCTGGGTTTAAATCCCAACATTGCATATGGTTCTCTGAGCATCACCAGGAGCGATCCCTAAATTTAGAGCTAGGAGTAAGCGATGAGCACTTTTTTAATGTGCCTCCCCAAGTATTTGCATACATTTGTATACTGCCACTGTCACTGTCCTCCCGTTCTTCATCGATTTGCTGGAGTGGGCCCAGTAACATTGTGAGACTTGTTACTGTGTTTGGCATATGGAATACATCACCGGTAATTTGCAAGGCTTTGCCATGTGGGCGAGATACTCTGGGTACCTTGCTGGGCTCTCCAAGAGGGGTGAAGGAATCAAACTCCGGTCGGCCGTGCCAACCGCATGCAAGGAAAAGGCCCTACCCACTGTGCTATATTCTCTATAATTAAACTACCTATGTTTGCTAATTGGTGTCCCAGGAAGGAGGTCTCTGTCCTCACACAGACTGGAAAATAAGTTTCCTCTTTCTTCCATGCTCACACTAACAGACGCTAATGTTTACATCAATGTCTCAATAAATTTCTAATGTAAACATCACTTTCCACTCCCTTACATATTATGCTTTCCAATAACCCCCACATTCTTCCAATTCTGACACCAAAGAGAGATTTTCTGTTTTGTTTTGTTTGGGTTTGTTTTATTCTTTTCCCTTTGGTCTTTGGGTCACATGCTAGAGTACTCCAAGCTTACTTCAGGCTCTATGCTCAGAGATCAATTTTTGCACTGTTGGAAGACCATAATCCAGGTCAGGGATAGAACCCAGCCAATCTATGTGCAAGACAATTGCCTTACATACAATCTCCAGAATTTCCTCTTTTTAAATGTCAGAAAAAGACTTTTCTGGGGAAAGTCAGACTAGTAAAAGACTTAAAAAATAAAAGTGAGTTATTTTTTTTTTACAATGACAAGTTATCTAAAGTAAATGATCTAAGAAAAGGAAGGTCAGATGTTAACTGTTAGGAAGGCTGCTGAAACTTTAGTTAAGTTAATGAGATCATTAGGCAGTATTAGTCATTTTCAATTATCTGACATTCTAGAAAAGTCTAGCCTAGGAGTAGAGAAAAGAGAAAGAACAATAGCCAAGTGCAATTGGAAGAAATGTGATGCTTATGTTAGAATAGGTTACGTGAATACTGCACATATGTAAAGGTGGGACACTGGACATTTTATGACAATTAAACCATACTATATGCCAGCATAATGATTTAAGACATCCTATAAAACTCACAAGAGCGTGTTCTCCCTTGAACACACATCTCACTTTCATATTTCTAAGTCTTCTCTGTGTTGTTTCTAGAATATGTTTCCCTGCTTTTTCTCCTACATCATCTTTCTAAATAAACTTAAATTTTAAAATATTTTTAAAAATGGTACCACACAGGGTTCAGTCTAATGCAAACTATGGTATTCAATTAATAGCATCAATATTCTGAGTGTTACATATAAAAGCAATATATATAAATTATGAGAGGGTTGGAAAAGGTATAAGGTTTGTGACAGCTGTATATTTTGCTAATGTTTTGCATATTCAAAGCTAAATTATAAATCAGTATTTTTATCACATTTATATCATCCATCCCATTATTGTATGCTATTAAGCTTTTTCCAATTGGTTCTTTTGCTAGTATTGTGTTTATTTCCTATGTATATATATTTGATATATATATATCATATTATATATATTTGATATATATATATCAAATGAATCCTAAATATTTTGTCTTCTATTTGGGATTATGTTGCATTAGGTAATAATTTTTTGTCTGTTATTTTTTATGAGTCACATCAACTGTGCTCAGTGCTTCCTATTGGCTTTGTGATAAGGAATCAGTCACAGTGGGCACAGGGGAACATATGTGATGCTTGGGATTGAACTCAGGTTCGCAAGGTAATTGCCTTATTCCATGAACTATCATTGCAGATTCTAATTGAAGGTTTGTAACTTAATGAAGGTTTTTAAGTAAATTAACAAAAATGTTAACAGAAAAATAAGCTAATGCGATCCTAGTCTTTGGTAGCTCATAGAATTTCAGAGGAAGGACAAACACAGATATTAGAATCCTCTCATTCTGGGGAACCAGAGAAATAGTACAAGAGACACTCATCATCCCATGCAGTTCTCCAAGCACTGCCGTGAGTGATCCCTGAGGGCCGAATCAGACACAAGTCTGTGTACTACTGAGTGTGATCCAAAAAAAATCTCATTTTTGGCAGCTTTTATGTTAATAATTCTGGGACTCTAATAAAATTTGTATAAAACCACTGAAGAGCATTTTATAATTGATTGAAGGATGATTAATTATGCTGCATGAAAACAAATAAGCTCTGTGACTTTAAAATTATATCCACTAGGTTTTACTTGCAAACAATGTGACTAATAACTGGGAAAAAAATTCAATATGTGCATTCCAAATCTTTAATATTCTTAAAACACTCCTATACAGAACTCTGCTTGGGAAATGACCCAACCCTATATCCCCTTCCTGTTCTATGGTTCAGATTATCCACTAAACTGTCGTATGTTTCATTTGTAAAGATGATTGTTTCATTTTTATTGAACCCATAATTTTTAAAATAATGAAAACTGCAGATTGACACAAATTAAAAATAATTCATATCATGTAAAATGATTATGGACTTAAGTTTTATTTTAAGGGATTTATGAGGTTCTGAGAAGAATATGGACTTTATAAGACTTTATAATTCTTACTTAGTTCAGAACAAAATAATTTTTCTCTTAAAAGTTCCCATTTTCATTGTCTATCATCTTTCCCTTACAAATATGTACTTAAAAATCCAAACTAAAGCATATTTTTCTTAAAATACACTTTGTCTGGGCTGCAGCAATAGTACAGTGGATAGGGTGTTTGCCTTGCATGCAACCGACCAGGGTTCAATTCCCAGCGTCCTATATGGTCCCCCGTGCACTGCCAGGAGTATTCCTGAGTGCATGAGCCAGGAGTTAGCCTTGTAGCATCACCGGGTGTGACCAAAATAAATATTAATACAAATATAAATATATATTACATATAAACATAGAAGTATATATATAATATATACATTGTCTTCTGAAGGGGTGAGTAGATAAAATCTATTTTACGAAATTTTAATAGAGCACTCTTCACCTTAAAGAGAAAGTATGATATTCTAATACTAATATATATGTAGCACTGTCCTCCCATTTTTCATCTATTTGCTCGAGCAGGCCCAGTAATGTCTCCATTGTGACACTTGTTGTTACTGTGTTTGGCATATCGAATATGTCACGTGTAGCTTGCCAGGCTTTGCCAGGCGGGTGAGATACTCTCAGTAGCTTGCTGGTCCCGGAGGAATCGAACCTGGCTCAGCCACCCAGCCACGTGCAAGGCAAACGCCCTACCACTGTGCTATTGCTCCAACCAACTAATATATATAGAATTTTAAATATTTATTTTAATATACATTTCTCTCCACTCATTGACCTTCATCCTTGTTAACTTCTATTTTACTAATGGACTTAAAAATTTTATTCATTTTGTTTTGTGCTTCTAATGGTTTTGAAACTAATATTCCTTTTCTTTTTATGTACATATTTCAAATATATTCTAAATGGTATATAAATTTGCTCATTTTCTAATTTTGACTCATGTTATTTTTAAAATTATTCTCCAAGTTCTATCTTATCAAGTACCATGTTTCTATAGTGAATTTAAAACCCAATAATCCATCATGAATATAAGATATTTATGCACAGAGAATGTTACTACTTTTATTAGCACCATAGTTCTATTTGTGATTAATTTGAAATTTTATGTAAGAAAACATTATTTCATTTTTGCTCTTTGAAGGTACTAAAATATAGGTAATCTGGAAAGATACTTCTGTTGACTTACTACAAAGGACTGTTGATATGTCATTTATTTATAATTTTTTTTCATATACCCTGATACTTACCAGGCCCAACTCTGCTTAGCTTCCAAGATCAGATGAGATCTGGTGTGTTGGGCTGGAGCAATAGCACAGCGGGTAGGGCGTTTGCCTTGCACGCAGCCAACATGGCCAACCTGAGTTCGATTCCTCTGCCCCTCTCGGAGAGCCTGGAAAGCTACCGAGAGTATCTCGCCCACAGGGCAAAGCCTGGCAAGCTCCCCATGACGTATTCAATATGCCAAACACAGTAACAAGTCTCACAATGTTACTAAGTAGTCCGCTTGAGCAAATGGATGAACAATGGGAGAGCAGTGACAGTGACAGTGATACCTTGATAGTTATTTTAGGGGAAATCTGCAATGTTTGTATCATGTATCTACCATCTGTTGACCAACAGGCTAGCTGATTCCTATGTATTTTAATTCATTGAACTCAATATTATTTCAATCAGAAGACTTATGAATTTCTTTTAATTATAAGAAAATTTTGCTATTAGATTTAACTATCCCCCCCCCATTTTCTGTCATAAATTTGACATTTTACTTTTATATTCACTTTACTAAATCCTCTTTCATAATTTCCAATATGTTAGCATTTCTTCTGACTTGTGATTCTTTACTTTGGTCTATTCTTTTAATATCATTTTTTATGTATATTTTGTCTAAATTTCATGTTATGAAATTTTTCAATTTCTATAATTATTATTTCATTTTATCTTGTCTATTATTTTTTCACATCACTATAGTCTTTATAACTCTGCTTAGTTTTAAGGATTCTGTTTTTGGGATGCGGATGATGCTCAGGGATTGCTCCCGGCACTGTATTCTGGAATCACTCCTGGCAGTGTTTGGGGGATGTATGTGATGCCTCAAATTAAACTTAGGTTTGCAGACTGTAAAAGAAATGAATTACTGGCTATAGTATCAGTCACGCCCTAATTTTATGTATTCTCATTTGCCTAACTTTACAAATTTGAGTTTCATGTACTTGGTAAGGAAATCATTTGACTATATAATATATTAGCTGCATTCAT